TCTCTCCCCCCTCTCTCCCCCTGTTCCCCCTTTTTCCCCAACACCCCTTCCCCCAAAATCACACAAACAACCAACTAACCACACAAAACCCCCCAGACTAGACGTCCGCATCCTCCTTCCATCAACACCCGAAAAGATGGCTGAGCAAAGCACCGCCTACGCGGATATCACGAGCGCGTGTGTAGAGGTACAAGCTTGTATCGGGATCACCGTTTGGGATTTTTGGGATCCTGTATGTTTTCCTTTTTCCTTCATCCTTATCATGCCAAACCAAAATCCCCAATCTCATCCCCAAGCTCCAACCCACAAGAAGTTACAACTCTGAGAGGGAGAGGAAGAGAAAGAATAAGAGAGAAAAACAGAGGAGGAGAGAAATAGAAAGCAAGCTAATAAAAAAAAAGGTATCCTGGGTACCAGGAGTCTTCCCCGGAGAAGGAGATGCAACATTGTACTATGCGAATTTCACACGACATCCTGCGTATGAGGGGGTTGTTGGGGCGTTGAAAGCAGGGGGCAGGGAATAGGTAGCTCTACACTTCTTGAGTGGTGGTTGGCATACTTGTTGGAGAGATGGACGGAGGTATTTGAGGGTAGGATGAAGGGTTGGAGGTAGTAGAGAGAGAGATGAAAGGGTGAGAGGATATAGGGGGGAGGATGAGATGAAACAGTGGGTATAAAGGAGGTAGTTGGGAGGATGAGGGAGAGAGTTGGAATGGAATGGTAGGATGGAATGTATTTCTCTGATTTTCTTTGAAATAGTGGGTATGATGGTATGAGGGTATAATGGTACTGTAAGATACCTAATCCTTACTCTGTACACACTACACAAAAATCTATTATACTAAACTTATAGTACAAGCAAGATAATTGTCATAGGATACCTAGGGTATTGAAATTAAAGAGTTAGCAATTATTCAAGCTCTTTGTATAACTCTTTTAGTTGTACGACGTTTTTAGCATCACTTTATTCTAAGAGAGGTGTGTACAGCGTAACGACCATGTCTCTTACTATGTAGTGTGAGGCTTTTTATCTGTGGTGTGATGTGTTGTGATGGGCTGGCATTGATATCATCGACGGCAGGCGATGGTAGGTACTTACAGTATACTTGATAGAATGGCATCGAGTGCTAAGGACAACTGCAACCACAATCGCCTACCCACCAAAGGAGACCTGACAAGATGAATTTCCTCGAAAATCCTCAGCTTGAAAAGACTTACTTACTTATCATGTAGCAATTACTGCATTAGCAAACATATATCACACAAGCATCACGAATTACAAAGGAAAATATTATTTGATACAATCAAGTTTCTCATTAAAAAGAATCTAATTGTAAGATTACAGAAGAACAAATGACTGACTGAGCACAGTAGGTTCAGAATTGTCGATTCAAGGGCTGTACTGTGTAAAAAGAAAACGCCACAATAACGCCAGGGTATCTTAATTGCCCAAATCTACAAATTCGAGAAAACCCCCAAATGCATGCATCATCTCATTCCCAAGAGGAAAATCGATACCAGTATCCAGTCATCAAGAAAAAACCGAATACAAAAAGGATATCCAGCCAACGTTGAAGATCAGGAGAGTTATGTAAGATGTGAAGCTGTCACTTAGGTGATGATGGTTCGAGCATCCCAGACGAGTAAGCGTTGGTCCCATGCTGTACTGGCAACCCAGCCTTGAGATCCAAAGAGGCACCAGTCAACACCTGTGACGAACTCGGTGTGTGCGCCCATCTCGCCGAGCTCACGGCCGAGGTTGGGGGTGACCATGGAGGCATCGCTCATGGCGTTACCGTCAGACCAGAGTTTGACACTCATGTCGTAGGAGCCACTGAGGAGAAGGTCACTATTGTGGGGAGACCAGGAGATGCGACGAACTGCATAGCGATGACCTGACATCAGTGTGACTGCACCAGCGCGAGGAGCACGGAGATCAAAGGTTCTGATGATTTGATCAACACCGGCAGTGGCAAGAATGGTACCGCGGTACTTGTTCCAATCGTGGGTGAGGCACTCAGATGGAGGGGGGCGGGGACCAAGAGGGTTAGCACGAGTATTAATGTTGGCCAAGGTTGGTGCGGGTCCATGGATGGGAATAAGGTGAACAAGATGGTTTGCTGCAGAGGCAGGGATTCGAATATCAAAGATTCTGATATGCGAGTCAGAGGTGACGGCGGAGATGATGGATGGAGAGTGAGGCGAGAACTCGGTACTGTAAGTGCACGAGTGGGTTGGTAGGGTGAGAAGGGATTGAGCACGCTCGGGGTTGTACTAAAAATATATTAGCTGGTGCGTGGATTAGGGTCAGGGATAGGCTTGGGTCTACTCACGAGTTTAAGGGTTCCATCCCATGAGCTGGTTACAAAGTTGTCCTTGGTTACTTGGTTCCAGAAAACAGAGTACACCTCACGAGAGTGTTCACTCCATTGGGCAATTGGCTGGTGAGCGACATTTACATCAAACAGCTTGACAGTTCCGTCTCCACATGCAGCCAAGAGTTGATTTTCATTTGCCTCGGACCATGCGATATCGTAGACAGCATCTTGCGTGTCGTAGCTATCAAAGTGTTAGCAAGGAATTGCCTATACATGTGATGATTACAGATATCAGACACTTACAACTTGGGACACAAGATACCTTGACTCGTCAACTCCAAAACGTAGACACGACCATTACCCACGAGGCCAAAGTTTTGAGCAGCTCCAACGGCGATGCGTGAGTCAATGTAGGGCGAGTACTTGACTGCATAGCCATTGAAACCAGTGGTTTGAAATTGAAGCATCGTCGCAGCAATGAAGCTATTCAATGGATGCAGGTTTCCAACACAGGTACGGGGACAAGTGATAGCGAAGTGGTAGGCTTCTGGGAAGAAGCAAACCTGCAATTGAGTGGTTAGTGGTGGACATTGTGGGTGGAGGGGTGGTTGGTGTGGGAGATAGGGAGGCGATAGGAAGTGGGGGACAGCTGCACAGAGGCAGCAGGATATGAGGGCATCCCAAGTACGTACCAAAGGCCAAAAGGAGCAAAGCGTAAAGTTGAATCAGCGCAAGAAAGGAAGTTGTCAAGACAACATCACCAGAATTGGGTGTGCACAGTAGTCAGAAGGAGAAGTTTTGATTGACAATTGTGGTAGGAAGTTGACAGATGAGAGCAGGGTTAAATGCTGTCTGGTGGGCTGGCGAGGCTGGCTCGGGCGGGGTAGGAAAAGCCGTGCCGGATTGACAGGGGTTGTACGTTGTGTGATTGGTCAGTGATAACCACCCTGGCAGCCCACCTGAGGCTCTTTCACCCCACCAAACTTTGTCAACTTCCCAAAACCAACAATGGGAGCCCGATGGCACCGTGAACTCCACGTGTAGATCAAAAGTTGATCTATCCGGAATATACCCGCCCCAGATTTAAGGTGTGGCTTCTGGAGGCTCTGGCATTGACAGTCGCTGTGACATGGATCATCAACGCTAGTCTGAGGACCCTGCTTATTCACCAACCTCATTGCATATCTGCACCTCAGCCATTTTCGAGTCAGGTGTCATCCATATTGGTATCACTCGATGACCGTAATCCAATATTATGATGCAAACCACCACCAGGCAGCAATCAGAGGTTTGGGCAGAGCCAGATTAGAATTACCAAGGTAGTCATGGATGCATTCCTATCGAGGAGTAAGCGAAAACGCTCTCCTTTCCCAGAGAACAATCCCACGAGGTCCACCAAGGTTCCGACGTGCGAAACTACAACTCCCCATGAAGTCACATCTCCATTTTCCCCGGACGATGAATCAACCGATTTCAAACTCGCACTTCTCTCCTCTCTCCATCCCTCTCATGACCAACAACTACTCCTCGACGTCCTTCTCTCTAACGAAGGCTCTGTAGACCTCGCATCCGCCTCATTATCCTCCCCTCCATCACCACCACCGAAAAAGAAATCCTCTGCCACAGGCTACCAAAGTTCTCTCTCCAGCTTCGTGAAACCCCCTGACCATCCCGAGCCATTCGGAAAAAAGCTCTTATCCAAAAGAGGCAAAACACTACATCTCTACTCCTCAGAAGACGTAGAACAACACACCCCCTGTACCATAATCCACAACTTCCTCCCCACACAAGAAGCCAATGAGCTACTCAAAGAATTATTGGTCGAAGCATCGACATTTGAAAGAATGACATTCAAGTTGTTTGAGAATGTAGTGCAGAGTCCTCACACAGCCTGCTTCTACGTCGAAGGACTGGAAAGGGAACGAGAGCAAAAGACGGAGTATATCTACAACGGTGGACGTTTGACCGTACATCTCATCCCGATTCTTCATATGAAATTCCAGCTGACATATTTCATAGGACGTCCGACAACTCACCCCCACCATGCAAAAAGTCTCCTCAAAAGTCCAAGAAGCAGTCAACACCGCCATCCAAACCCGCATCCAAACACACTACCCCAACGCCCAAAAACTGCACCACCAATCTCCACACCCATGGAAACCCAACGCGGCAGTGGTAAACTGCTACTCAGGAGCCGCCGAAAGCGTCGGCTGGCACAGCGATCAATTCACATACCTCGGTCCCCGACCCGTCATCGGATCCGTCTCATTGGGTGTAGCGAGAGAATTCCGGGTTCGTCGAATAATACCTCAGGACGAGGACACACACTCAAACCCTAAACCAGAAACGGGAGAAAGTATAAGAAAAACAAAAGAAGATTCCGACGCCGAAGGACAAATCTCCATCCACCTCCCACACAACAGTCTCTTGGTAATGCACGCCGAAATGCAAGAATCCTGGAAACACTCCATCGTCCCTGCTCTCACCATCGATCCGCACCCCATCTCAGGGAACAAACGTATCAACGTTACCTATCGCGACTACAAAGCCTCGTTACACCCGCGCTACACGCCGAGATGTAGATGTGGTGTTCCGTGTATATTGAGGGTCGTGCAGAGGAAGAAGGAGAATTGGGGGAGGTACTTTTGGATGTGTTATGTGGGGAACGTTCCGGGGAAGGAGGGCTGTAGGATCTTTGTGTGGGCGGAGTTTGATGGGGATGGGGAGCCGGTTTGGAGGTAGGGTGTGGAGGGGTTGTGTATAATATGTAGAAATTGGAGATAATGGGAATTCTACATGGGAACGTGGAGGCCGTCTGGGGGTATCTGTGAATCGAAAATTCATCAAGTCTCTTCGGAATAATGATGTAAAATGTGCTTCGTACTGTCCCTATATTATGTCTATGAAAATGGTCCTCACTTTCCGCTACCCTGATAATCTACTCTGGTTCTAATATATTCTAGCCCTCCACCGTACCCACACCTCAGATATTCCATAATGCACCACTCATTCTCCCCCTTTGATACACGGACCACGCTTCCTTACCAACATACCAGCCTTCTCCCCTCCTCCCATGCTTGTCTCGTTCTACGAGTGAGTTGTAAAGATATTCTACTAAAGACCTTATATAACTAAATTAATTATACGAATAGTGTTACGACATGGTCTTAGCCAGCCGAGACACCTGTACTCCTATCTCTGCTGCCTGACCTTGTCTCGGTTGCCTAGGTAGATGCCTAGTATTCTAGCAGCTTCCACTCGGTCAGGGTCGTCTTATAAAGACTCCCTCCTTGCTCCTTTAGCTAGCCTCACTCTACAATCCACTTTTACAGCTCATTCTGACAGTCTCCTGTTTTGTCCCTGACGAATAGTTTAGAATAACTAATACGTTCCACCCCTTATTAATTTAAGTAAAATGGGATAGTTAATTTACTTGTGCTAGACTTGTAGTATAATAGCGTGTATAGAGTAATGACTAGGTTTCTTATATAGTTATTTACTATATCCACCTATTTTCTAAAAAACCTTTTATAGTAGGCTAAACGATTTTATTTATAGGGTTTATTTTATTTATTTATTGCTATTTAACGTCAAGCGGAGTCTAGCTCGCGTGGGCTAGGTCCTAGAAGAGTCCCAAAATAGGGCAAATGACGCTAGGGGGGTGCCCTAGGCTACAGGGGGGTGTAAACGAAAGAGCTAATTTACATGAGGCAGTTTAAAGAGAAGCTCCACTTTCGGAACAGCTCTTATCCTTAATTAGTTTAAGAACCAGGGTAAAACAAAGGAGATATATAAAGAAAAAGGAAATAAAAGAAGGCCTGTCTATCCAGAGAGGCAGATCTTAGTGTAGAATTTCTTACACGTTTTTTATAACTCTAGCGTCTCAAAGGAATAATATTTGTGGGAGAGCTAGTTAGTTCACGATAAATTAGGTAGTACAGTGTCTATTTAAGGATAACCATTCATATTGTACCTACACGTCTTCAAAATCGACCCAACTCACCATATTTAAAGTGTAGCTAGATTTGAGATGTGCAAGTCGTCCAAGTTTCAGGTCTACCTAGCAGGCTATTTAATGACTGGTGGACTCAAACTTCCCAGACTGTTCAGCCAATCTTCCTTGATCTTTCGCTGGATGCCATTTCCGTATCTCTCTTCCTGTGCGCGAAGACACTGGATGCCGAACCAATCGCAACTCTTTGGCTCACCTTTTCTCTCCTAATCAAAGGGAACCCATCTAAAATTGACTGTCATGAACCCTCTTAGCCGTTCGGTATAAAACTCCGGAATGAAGAGCACGAAACTCTCTAAACTGGCCTCCATATCGCTTCCCTCTTCGCTGGGGGTTTCCTCGTGTATCTGAATATCAGGCTTTTTCTTGAGCTCCAGTGGAAAGAATCGAATGTCACGAAGGTCCAACCATAACTCTTTGCTAAAATACTTCTCGATGCCTGTGTAGGAAAATGGACACTCAACCATATTTTAGCCTCGTCACAACCGTATCGCTGGCTGCCGTACCGCTCCGAGTACACTTAATAATGATTTTGACAGAGGTGGAAGAATTTAGGGACTTTCACAACAAGATTCAGGGTCTTGATGGAATCTCTCGGATATCTCAATGCGGCAGTATTCTTCATCGCTCGAGGCAGGTCATAGCGATTCGGATGAACAGTGGAATGATTATAGTGCATCAATTTTGCCCAGTCGTCTTCCTGCATCAGGGGAAGTTCAATCTGTGGGATAAGCGATTTGGTTGTAATGGTGCCATACAGGGATGGATCGAAGAATCTCCCTGTAAACAAAAACGCATTAGCAATCTTGATTCCAGACATAGGTTGAAAAGAGTGAAAACAATTCGTACTCACCGATGTTAGCGCGTGAATATTCTATCAGACGATCCCACTTCCGCTTCTGCACACGAACTAATTCAAAGTAGAACTTGTTTCTTGTAAGGAAGATATTATATGCATCGTCTCTTAATAACTGGCATACAGTAGCGATATCTGTGAGCCTTGGGTTCTTGATAGGAGTTTCCGAGTAATTTCTGAGACGTGGCTTGATTGGGATCGGACTGACGAGAAGATACTCCAAGATTTTGTACCGGCATTCGTAGTCGATGGTGGTAAGAGAGTTTGGTTCACGGGCAGTAATAGATATTTGCGAATCGATTGATGGTTCCTTGAGGTCAATATCAGTAAGAGGAAAATGAAAAGTGTGTGGGAAAACGGCAACATCATCAGCTCGGATATCGCTTAGCACTCCTCCCAGTGATATCCACTTATCCATGACGATATGAAACAGGGTTTGGGCAAGATTAACAATCCAACGTACCAAAGTTTTCTTCCATGTGGCTTGAGTGGAAATGTTTGCTGATACGTGTCCTTCAAATCAGTTAGCACTTAGCTCAACTCAAAGGCATGTGCCTACCTTCTAAAGGTTTCGTGGTTCCCACAGTTTCTATGGCGTGCAATCGGGTGTAAAGGCCCATGAAATCGTAAATTTGGTCCTCGCTCTGGCGCTCTACAGACTCTGCGCCACATGATCGATCGTGAAGGTCCATAAGTTCCAATATTTCGTCATCGCTGGAGGTCTCTTGAAGGGTGGCAATGTTTCTCGTTTGCGATTCTAAAATTATAGTATGAGCCATGACATCTTGTCAATCATGTTCTCCCTTACCTGTTGCGGTTTCCGTGGTTGTGCGTTCGTTGGAATTCAAATCGTCTACGGCCTCCGGCTCCCTTGGTACTCGATGGAGAAGTGCTGAAGTAGTTAGCTGATGTTTCTCTGTCTGCAACAATGCCTACTTACGTTGGGCTCGCCATGGATGGCGCCACTGAAGACCTCGAGAAGGATGCAACAAATGTGTCTGCATATTGTTGTTGTTGATGCTTCCGTTGAGAGAAGGCGATGTTCTGCCAACCAGCTTCGGAAAAGTCTTATGAGCAAGTAAATGTTCAATTGCCTTAAGGGTTACAATTGACCCTTCCACTGTTCAATTCACCATGGTAGTCCCCCGCTTTCATATGGATGTTCATGGGTGAGCCGTTGTAGAATAAGTGCTCGGTGAATTCGGTTTTGTTGCCAGCTGCTATCGAGCGCGGAAATCAAAACCGCGGGTTTGCCTCGTGAAGGATCTCAACCACATGACCGTGTGCGATCATCTTCCAACAAATCCGTTCCAGGTATTCCAACCCACCATGGCGCTTAGTTCAGGTTCAGTGTCTCTCCTTACAATCTGCTATGATGTTCGCGCCAAGATCCTCGAGTACGTCCTCAGTAGCCCTCGCAGAATCCGTCCAAGATGGCCTCCAGGATTACAATATCCTTATCATGATATTGTCAGTGTTTCTTTAGCTTGCTGGCAATTGCACGACGAGGCCAAACCAATATTCTACAAGCAAAATACCTTTTACATCAACTTTCCAATCGACTACCGACAATTTAATCACAGAACCGGCGACGGCGATATACGTGAGTTGATTTCCCGTTTGAGAATCATCATACAGGGATGAATACAGTGAGTTGACCGCTGACACTTCTACATAGTGCCTGCGTTAATAAAATCGACGGAGCCTCGAGCACAGGAGCCACTTATACAAAATTGCGCCCTTCTTGCTCTCACGCCGTTCTTTTGGGAGTCAAATGACTTCTTCGATCATTCAAGAGTCTCTACGAGCTCTTGGATGGAGCTCTCGATAAATCACTGTCTTCGCAATCAGCTGTTTGTACGGATGGGCAAATACAAAAGCTTCGAACTTGTCTTCAAGATGGCACATTCATTTAAGCTATGCGAGGGTCACCTCAAACATCACCTCAAATTTCTTTATAATATAACCAAAGAAAGATACGTGGAGAAATATTTCTCGCTATTTAACACAAAACAGCACATGTCCGGTGAACAAGCTTGCACCACAAAAATGAGCGCAGATAATAGAGCAAGATTTGCTTCTCGTGCTTGTTTCCCGTATAACTCACGTCACCCCGCACGTTCTGCCAGGGAGCAAGATGCCTTTGTTGAGGAGAAATTGAATCTTGGCTTCATCATGCGTCATGTCTTGGGGATAGACTTTACCATTTCTTGGGATTCTTTTCAGTGGAACGGACCGCCGCAACAGGAGGGCACTGCAAAGAGAATCGGATGCGACTGGGCCAGACTTGATTGGCTAATTCAGTTTCATTTAACATTTGGTCAGGGCGACGTGAGTGCTCGTAAACGCTTGGGTTGGCTGCTCTACATGGGGCACAGCGATGTAAGAAATTTGCGGGAGGGATTAGCCAAAGGTCGTAAAAAACCGATAGATATGCCTAGCTCTGTGTAGATACTTGTCAAAACCGCTTTTCGGGGTTGTAGGAAAGTCGGGAGTTCATTGGACTAGCATATAGGGATCTATATTATTATGACCAATATTCCCAGAAAACCGTCCAACTATATTAACGATGTTGTATTGTGATATCTAACACGTGTCAACGAGGGCTTTTGTATCGATTTCACCCAAGTAGCTTGTATCCGATGAACCTGAACTTCTTCATACTACCCAGACTGACTGGCGCCACTAGTAAAGTACTCATGGTTCTGTAACAAACTCTGGACCTATACCAGCGGACTTAGGCTCATAAAAATGACCAATATCTTCACAGATCATGGGACCTGAATGTTGGCATAATCATCAATTCAACATATGAAGCTTCATCTTAGTATCCTTCTGGACAAGATATAGATATGCGCTGTGGCTACAAATGAGAATTACTACAGTATGATAAACGCACTGCAAAACAGCGACTCTGTATCAAATACACTGGCACGCTGGACCCTGGATCTAGGCTTTACGTCTGGCAGTTATTTGGCCATGATCAATCAAATTCCCTTATGAATATCAATCTGAACCTGGAATGTCGTCTGCTCCTACCTAGTCTAGTGAATCAACCCAGCCAAAAAGATAAAATGCAAAACCTTTAAGGCCCCTCAGCATCGTAGCTAGGAGACCCCCTCAGGAGAATCCACTGTTAGGGGTGGAATTTTTTGAGGGTAATTCGTGGAGGGTATTTCGTGGGGGGTGTAGGCTGGGCGCTAACAGGTTTTGTGTGGGTGGCGCATATGGGATTGTGGGAGGGGACACTAACTGATTGGGCCAGGCGGACAGATTTAATCGCAGTTCTGGTGATGGTGGCTATCTTGTTTAGCCATATAAATATTGTTTTGCGACTGTTGTGGGGTCTAGAGCTACGCGAGGAGTTCTAATTGGTTGGGCTGGGGGATCTTCGGATGTATTTGGTGGTAGTGGGCCTCGACCTGGTAACAACCGAGCCTTTCCCGTGGCATACATTATCAATGGTTTCTCTGAATTTGGCTGCAGAAGAGATACGGTCTTGAAAATTGTTTCAATGTGGTGGTTATACGTTTAATGAATACTTGTTTGCAGTAATTATTGCTTAAATAGGAGATCGCAAACTTGAAAGATTAGATAGATGTACATATGCGATCACACTGGTGAGTGCTAGTATCACTTCAGACTTGGAAAAGTAGCTGGAAAGAAGGGAGCTAATGAATTTTGCTTTGGTATCTAATTACTTGGTGAAACATTACATCACGATTCCAGATAGGTTGGTCATAGTTTAAATGTTTTGCTTATAGCTGGTGATGTATGTGAGGTAAATTGAGCTTCAGCGTTTGAGCGAGCGAACAGGAGGAGAACACAAACAGGGTGACAAGGCAGATTTGCCCGATGGTATGCGCCTCCTATGTGTATCTGTGCATATCTCAAATTCAATTCAATGAAACCCGGCGAGTATGACAGTTTGAGGGGCAGTGGTCTTCTAGTCCAATGGACTTTGAGGACCTTGATAGAGACTCGCCTCCGGTATTTGCTTTGGAACTCTTCGAAGCCCTGAGATATCGAGATTCTGGTGGATTAGGAGAAAGGTTCAGCCACAGATCAATATAATGTAACCTTTTCAGAATGAATCGACATATGTTGGGGAAAATGGCATGGCGCGCGGGGGAAATTCCGTTCGGACTGAATTCATTAGGTAGATAATGGAGAGTGAATTCAACGTCGTAGCGGAAATCTCTGGGAAATGTGCTTGCCCTCGCAACCACCCGTACGCCTCTGATGGCCTAGCGCGAGTCTGGGAGCATGCTCATATACTCGACCTCTTTGGATGCTCGGACACCTTTCCTACTTTCCATTTTCCACATCGACACCTATTTTCCTCTGATATCGATCTATTCCCAAAAGTCCTTCTACTCAACGAGTACCCGCCTACCTTCTTTCTGATTTCGATGCGCTGTCTACCGCATACGTTACTTGCATACGATTTTTGTTGCTGCTGCGTTCTCTTGTAGAGACAAGCTTCAGGCTACGAGCAGCATCTTCGCATCCGAAGATCTTTGTGCTAGTTCAGCATATTTTCATCAAGCAAAGTTGTGCTATTCCAGCATACTCTGACAAGGTATGTATTAAGCGATGGATAGCATACCTTTAATCAGAGACCAACATTTTGCTGACGCATGTTCATCAGCCAAATATCGTGCTACGAGCAGCATTTTCATCAGAGAACTCAAGTGTTATTGTACCTTTCGGACATCAGACACAATACTTTCTCCTACTTATTAGCATAATTTCGTCGGTCAAGCACCATACTGTGAGTAGCATACCCTCATCAGCGGTGAAGGTCTTGCTAACCAAGAACATTCAGACAACCTTCTTGCTACGAGCAGCATTCACTCATCCGTGAAGGACCTTACTGTCATAGCATCCTCGGGCCAGTCCACCATCGTACTACCCACTACATACATACCTTGAACAACCAACCTCCAGCCCTATCCAAAACACCTCAAAAAAACCCGCCATAATGCCCGGTCACCGTCGTGGAAAGAAGAATCATAAGAACGCATCCAAGTCATCTGGAAGCATGGGAAATCGTAAGGAGTCAAGCGATCGAGACTCTGCTGATGATGCCTCTTCCGCGTCCGCTACCACCAGCCCCTCTCAGCCCCCCTCATCGCCGCTCTTGCAACCACAACATATCACCGATCCACTTCCACCTGAGAAGCCACCATCTTCTAAATTACCACAGACTTCTTCGCTTGTTGCTGAGTCTGATGACCAGAAGACGGGAAATGGCTTATCAGCATCCACATTTGCTGATCAAGATTCTGGTGCTGATAAATCTTCTGACGGTAAGCAAGCTTCAGTTGATGCTTCTGATACACCCATCGACTCCTCAGTCGCTCAAAGTCTGGAGAAGAGGTTGTATGGCATGTTAATGTCGAACCTCGCTCATGTAGCCCCACACAAGGAGCACGCCCAGGTCACCTTGGTCTCCGATGGTCTTAGTGATGCTGTTGCTGCTCCTTTGACCTCAATATCTTCTACTACACCTGTCGAGAACGATGCAGCTGTTGCGAGTGCCGAGGGCTCTAAAGACCTTGAGGATTCTCAAGAAGTAGCTCAAAAGTCAGAAGACAACCAGCTTCCGAAAGTTGTTTTGAAGAGCTCCTTCGAGTCTCACGAGAGTGATACGAAAACCCAACTTGTCACCTTTGGAAATCTCCATGTTATGGAGGCGGAAGGGCAGACAGGATCATCAGAAGACGCTGGCCCAACCTCTACGGTTGTAATCATCTCTGGAACACCTTCATCATTACCGTATCCTGAACGCCTCATCAAGCCGCTTCCTACTCTCTCAAAGGCGAGGGCTCGCGCTGGAATCAACAATTGGCTTCATGCTCCTATGCAAACTACTTATGCCATTACAACCACCGCCAATCCATTCGCTTCTAAGGAGGCTCCTGTAACACCATCCGCCTCTGACGCTGCTAAGGGACGACCTATCAAGCCGCTTCCAAAACGCTCACGAAAGTTTCTTGGAGTGGCAAACCGAAGCAGTTCTCCCACGGTTTCTGATCTGTTATGTTTCTGTTTCTTCACATTTAGAGCTTCATCCGAGGTTTCTCCGGTAGCCGAGACCTTTAGCGAGCGAAACCCTTCAAGGACACATGCACTCCTCCAACAGCCAACTTTTAATAGCACTACCGATGCGACTACTATCGATATTAGCGAGAAGAATACTGGCATGTTTGTATCAAAGTATGCCAGTGAGTCCGCTCTTGATATGGGTGCCACGAGTCATGCCCCCGTCACTTTTGGCGAGTTTACCAATTTCCCTACACCTACACACGAGTCCCTTCTGTCCTTTCAGCAGCAATCTTCTGATAGCGTTGTCAATAAGTATCTTGCAGAATACACAGGGGAGAAGACTGGTATTTCCGTATCAAAGTACGCCAAATATTCTGCCGCTCAGTCGTATGCCATGACCCTAAACATGATATTTGCGCCTAGCAAACCGTCTCTAATCCCTCAATCGCTGTCTTTGACTAGTAGTTATTTTGCAGCCTTATCTCAAGGCCTGGAAAACAGCGCGCTTGCCTCAAACAACGTCTTCACTCTCGCAGTTGCTAAATCTGTAATTCCAGACCGTGGTTTTGGACCAGCGCCCTATCTTGAGAATGTCTTGGGCAAACCTGTCAACCCGGGTGGCGGCACTGAAGCCGACGACGACACTGAAGCGATCAATGAGCATAAAGAGGAGAGCGGTGTCAAAGAAGATGATGGTGGCGATGAGGAGAAGGGTGATGAACATGAGGGTAATGAGGTGGAACAACCAACAGTAATCACTACCCGACCAACAGTTCTCAATACAGAATCTTCAGAGAAAGGTAATGATGAAGTCTGGCAAGATCCTTCGAACGAGCTGTAAACATCCCCTGTCGAGGAACCTTCAACATGTGATGAATCGGAGAACAGTTATACCACTACTCAACTGCTATCCCCCGCAGCACCATCGAGTGCCACAGATGAAGAATTAGTCCAAAGCACCGACGGAACTTTGGACCCGGGCCACAAAGTCACTCTGCCGCTCCTCTGCGGGCATTCCGAGGGAAAGCCATTTGAGGAAAACTCCGAGCCTGCCCAATCCGAAGACTTTGAGAAGCAGCTCCGAGTTGAAGTTCAAAATGATACTGAGGAATCTGCTGTGACCGTAGAAAAATCTGCAGTTATTGATGTCGAATTTTCCGATGGAGACAACAGTCCTGTTGCTAGTCACAGTCTTGCCAGAAACTCCGAGGATATCACCACCAAGGTCAATGATCCTAACCATAATCATAATGGTACAGTTATCGACCCGAGTCTCATGTCAATACTTCTAGATGTTCGGGGCATAATTTCAAAAGTCCAATCTCGGAACAGAACCGCCACTGCAATGATTGAGCGCCTCCAGAACGAGCTCAGAGCAACGACGGAAACAACGGCAAGACTTGAGACAGAAAGCCAGGGCCGTAAAGTCGAAATTGGAACCAATTCTGAAGAGATTGAGCGCCTCAAGGATAATTTCCGAACAACGACGGAGAAGACAACAAGACTTGAGACTGAAGACAAGGGCCTTCGAGACCAGATCGCATCTCTAACACAACAGATGAAGATACTCGAGACTGAAAACAAGAGACTGGATTCCGAGAACTCAACCAACGCTGGAAAGATTGAGAGCCTCGGGGACGAACTCAAAGTAACGAAGTGTAGGCTTGAGACCGAAAACAAGAGACTGAATACCGAGAACGAAACCAACGCTGGAAAGGTTGAGAGCCTCGAGACTATACTTAGTATGACGAAGTATAGACGTAAGACTAAAAACAAGGGCCTGGAAGTCCAGTTGGCAAATCTCATGAAAAAGATGAAAGAGCTTCAGGCAGAAAACAAGACTCTGAGAGTCGTAAAGAACATTCAGACTACTAACATTACCTCACTAAGTAGTTCGGTTGAAAGACTGAAGGCCGACAACCTCGAGTTGAGATCTATTTTGCGGACCGCTAGACGCATTTCGGAATCGAAATCGCAGCGCTTGAGAGCGTCAAATAACAGGCCATTACCAGATTCAAGGAAGTCAGTACTTCCATTGTTGCAGCAATCAACAAGCTATCAGAAGACTGTCAAGATCTTAGAGCTGGGTGTGCTATTATGATCGTGCGAAATTCAGAACAAATTGCTTCCGAGACCACCGATCGAGAGACTGAGAATGCAACCTTGCGAGAGGAGTCTAGCCAGCAGAAAACCGAGCTTGGCAATCTCAACAGCAAGAACGACGCTTTGCAACACCGTATCGGGGAGAATGAATCTGAAATTGAAACTCTCAAACTCGATATTATAACCTTGCGAGACGAACCGTATGTTGGGAAACAACTTGCAAAGGCTCTCTCTCACTTGAGAGCATACTCAAGCCCCCTTCTAAGCCCCCTCCTCCCTTGTCTCTATTTCTTCGCCATGACACACTCTCCTCTCAGCTTTGTCGCTCTGGCTTTTGGTCTCTACACTGCTTACTTGACCGACGGTATTCCCTACTCCGTCGTCCTCATTCCTTACTTCCTCGTGGTCGTTGCCTATATCGCCGCTCAGAGAGCCAGCTTGAAGGTTGCCCTCAAGCAGAAGGTTGAAGCTGCTGGCGATACCCTCAGCTCGGCTACCTCATCATCTGATATAGAAGCACCGGTCTCCTCCACCCACAACTTCTTCCTCGGTCTTGTGGTGCTTGCTTTGGTGCTCATTCCGGCTATCCTGGCATATTTGTACGTCGATAGATTCATGGTCGGTCGCTATTTCATCAACATCGCCTGTACATACGTCGCCAAGGGGTTGACTTACATCGCGACAAAACTCACGGCATATCTGCATCCGTACATTCCCCTCCTTCATACGTATATCACCAAGGGATGGAACCACATCGAGCCAAAACTCACAGCATATCTGCGCCCGTAAATTTCCATCGTTCTCGCGTTGATTACAAAGGGATGGACCTACATCGATCCACTCCTCCCACAATGTGTTCATAGACACATTCACAACACGTTCCCTACGTACATCACCACCGCGCGTACACACATCGTCCTAGGAATGAACTTCATCGGGCCCTACCTCCACAGAAACGTACGTCCATCCTTGTACATCATCCGCAATATCATCGATCCCATCAAGGTATTCCCCGCATATGGCTGTCCCAACGTCTTCGGGTTATTCGATTTCCCCCGCTGTATCGCCACGGATGTCCCTCCACCGCCGGAGTATCTCGTCTCAATTACAACTACCGTAGTCTCGCAACTTCAGGGAATCTAGGCGCCAGTTTGTTTCGAAAAGTCGAGTATCGCGGCGGATATCATTTACAACGTCGTCTCTAAGGCTAAATGCGTGGTGGTCAGATGCGGTGTGGATCCTTTGTGCTGGTTGAAGCGATGGTTCTCGTGATGGTGAACCGTTGTGGAATTTGCGAATCATAATTGAAACACAGAAATAGACCAATCCCTCTTCTCGGCTTTCGCGGACTAAGCTGAGAGTTTTCTCTGGAACCCATGGTTTGGTTTATGGGCGGTTGGTCTATGTTATGATTTGGAATAGATGGACAGTTGGTGGTGGTAGAAATACAGAAATAACAAAAAAACAAAACAAAAAGAGCAGAAAAAGCATAAAAAAAAAAGAAAAAGGAAAGGAGAAAGAAAAGGAATAAATAGATCAACCCCTCTCAATTTCCGCAAATAAGGCTGTGAGTTTTCTCTTGAAGACTCGATCTGGTTTGATAGGTTGATCTGTATCAATAAAACGAAAGGGAAGTTAACTTACTAGTGTTGAGAAAGACGAGCTTTCTTTTTCCATTGTCATTATGATTATTATATCTGAGATGAGAGGGTATTAGTACCAGCGCAACCAAAGGATTTGGTGGAAGTGATAGGTATGAAAATGTTTGGGATCTGGTTACTTGTACTGGCGATGGGGTGGACTTGATGTATTTTCTTTTTTTCATGATAAGTAGCCTTGGCAAGGGCTTTTGTGTACGGAATGGGATGGGATGGGATGGGATGTGATGGGAAGGGGTTTATTTCGCTGTGTTTCGCTGTATTTTGAGGTTGTCCAAACAAAATAAAAGGAGAGACCGGATGGAGTAGTAATGAAGACACTTGTAAAAAACCTCCCTAGATTCCAATAGTAAATTCATATCTTGTGACTTACAAATTGACAAAGTTTATTCCTTCTCCTTCTCCGACTACCCTACCGAACAAACGTCTTCTAAAGCCTTTCCTCCTATAACTTACTAAAACCTAATATATTCCCCTCTTTCTTTTTTCTTTAAATGTCCCCTTTAATATAGCCTCGATACTATTTAACTTCTATTTCTACCTATCTAATGTCAGGGTATCACTAGGAGCGTACAAAAGACTGTTCCAGAATATGGTTGAGATTGATCGCGAGTCAGCTAAGAAGTCCTAGAGCTAGCTATTACTTATACACAATAAGAGGCCACGCTATTCCCTATTAGGCAGCTCCATACTATCTCCGATTAGGCAACTCCAACCTACTATTGCATTTACTAAGCGAAGTACCAAAACACTATACTGAGCCACATTCACGCCTTCACATATGGTCCCCCCTCACCTACTAAATATACTATAAATCAGCGTCCTAAGGCTAAATACGATCCTAAAGAGCCTGCGTAAGTTTAGTACGAGTAGGCTTGATTTTGCGAGGAAAGTGCTACTCGAACTTAGTAATAGACGAAGTAGTAGAAGAAACAACGTTGTACAAAGGCTCCCAAGTATTAGAGTTAGGATCGTAACCTCTCTATCGAACCAAATACTAAAACTCTCCCTAGACTCTCCGAGAATCTAAAATCTTATTAACAGCGTACAAAACTTTACTATTAACGTTAATAGTAATAGGTAGAGCTGGCGGATTAACTTGTCCTAGAAGTAGAATACCCGCGGCGGGCCGTAATAAATTAATATAAAAGACTAGGTAGATTTCTTCTAGCTCAAAGGGTAACTCTAGCTTATACGAGTACGAATTAACCACTTGAAGTACTCGAAAGGGGCCTATAAACTTAGAGTCGAACTTTAGAATAGGGCGCGTAGAAGTGAGGTTCTTAGTGCTTAATAATACTATATTACTTACTTGGTACGCTGGCGTAGGAGCTCGATTCTTATTTGTAAACTACTCTATTTTATCCCTAGCCGTAAGTAAATTAGTACGTAAATAGCTAAGGATATCCTCTATCTTATAAATAAAACTTGATCCTTCTCTAGTACTAAGCTTAACTAACCGAGACGCTCTAGCCGGTACCGAAATAGGTAGTCCGAAGCTTAATACGAGGATAATAACTATAATTAGCGAAGAATAGCGACATACTAGTAGAACTATAAACTACGTTCCGTATAGAGAACTTAGCTATAGGTAAAAGTTCTACCTAATTATCTTGTGTAAAGTCGACGTATTAGTAAAGAAACTAACTAAGAGCCTTATTAAATATCTTAGTCTATCTATCTATCTTAGGGCAATAAGCGGTAGAGAGCTGAATATTAACTTAAAGTTTCTTATAAACGGCCTTCTAAAACGTAGCTACAAATAGTAAACTATAATTAGAAATAATAGAATCTAGTAAACCGTAAAGCTTCTATATATATAAAAACAACCGAGCTAAATATTTAGCTATTATAGTATTATAATAGGGAAATAAGTAACGATCCTTAGTTAACCTATCATCAACTACTATAATAGAATTAGTACTATCTACCTCCTTAAGTAAACTAACAAAATCTATAGAAAGATCCTTCTAGCGTTAAATTAGTACTAGCAAAGGCTTTAAAGTACCCTAATACTTAAGCTAGAAGAGCTTATTCTAAGCACAATTCTTATAAGCTTTATAAAACTACTTAATATCCGAGGAGACGTAAGGCTACTAATAGAACTAAGAGACTAATTCGAGTAGCCTATTCCTCCTAGGATAACTACTCTTAATAGAATCGTAAGCCCGCTAAAGGATCTATACCCGAAGTTCTATATTAGGTATATAAAGATAGTCTCGAAAATAGAGCCTACTATCCTTAATTATATACTTAGACAAGGAAACTTCTTTCGAGTATAGCGTATAGTTATATTAACTAAGCTCTACTTTAATCCGTCTTTAGAATAGGTCTAATTCGACTCTAGAATTGTCTGTCCTATATCCCTCTTCGAAGAGTCTTATTACCTTATAACTATTAGTTTCCTTATTATCTAACTCGGCCAGAGACAAAAGGAGAAGATTCTAAGGCTTTAAAAGCAATTACTTCTAATACTATATCTAGGGATCCGTATTATCCTTAGGCAAGTCCTAGGAAAGTTGAGTAAGAGCGTCCGGCTTCTAGTGACTTGTCCCTTTATAAGGGCTAATAACAAAGTTAAATTTAGAAAGAAACTTACCCTAACGGACCTAGCGCCGAGATAAGTCTCTTATTATTATAAAGTACTTTAAATTAGAGTAATCTATAACTATTGTAATAGGGTAAGCTATACTATATATGTGACAGACGTGCTTCAGGTAGAACTCAGAACAATTAACACTCTATTCTTAGGACAAAAGACGAGGAAAGAAGGAGAGCTCGAGAGAGCTGGGAACTAAATACAGGTCGTGCGCGCTAGCGCCTCGCTAAGCGAGCATGTGATATCCAGCCCTCGTGACCATAACCGTCACAATATAACTTAGACTTCTAACTCTCGAAAGCTCGAATAATAGCTAATAACACCTTATTATAAATCTCGTAATTATACTCCGCTAACTTAAAGGTCTTAGATATAAACGCTATAAAATAGAGAACTCTATTATACTACTATAACAAAAGTACTGTAGTAACGGAATCCAAAGTATTATACATATGTGACGGTTATGGGTACGAGGGCTGGATGTCACATGCTCGCTTAGCGAGGCGCTAGCGCGCACGACCTGTGTTTAGTTCCCAGCTCTCTCGAGCTCTCCTTCTTTCCTCGTCTTTTGTCCTAAGAATAGAGTGTTAATTGTTCTGAGTTCTACCTGAAGCACGTCTGTCACAACTTAAGGATAATCTCCTTCTTAGGATTAAAATAAACTAGAATAAATATAAAAACAAAAGCGTCCTTTAAAGTCTAGAATACTTTATTATAAGCGTTACTCTAGTCCTACTATACACCCTATACAGAAATAAGATTAAGCGGCTTAACTATCTTACTAAACCCCTTAATAAAGCGCCGATAAAGATTCGCAAAGCTAATAAAATGTAACGAATACTCAAACTGGCTAACTAAACTTGGCTGGGTGTTCGCTGGTTGGTATGCTATGATAAGAAGAAGACTATCGGGTTGTTCACTTGGAAGTGAACTCGTTACTTGTATCAAAGATGTCAAACTAATATGATAAGATTGATAACTAAGTTGAGCACGAAGCTCCTATCTAAAGGCAGAAGTGCCAGTCTTATATAGAACCTTCGTTCTCGTGGAGCCTACGGGGAGCCCAAGATCCTCAAGCTCCAACGCAAGCTCCTGCAAGCTCCAACGATCATGTGACCCTGTCACGTGATACTAACCGAATGAAATCCCTGGATCGCTTAGCTAGCCCAAGCGTCCCTATTTGCTATAAGAGTGCTGATAGTGCTTGAGCTTTCAGGACGCCGCCTGGTCTTCTCTTATCACGTAAACACGTGATTCGTGACATAAAAGCTTATAGGTCCTTAAGGTAGGCTAGGATTGTGACGACACGTACGCAAAGCCCACGGTGTAGGTTGTGGAATCGTAGAACTGTCAATTAAACAAAGATTCTAAGCTGAGGAGAAGAGGAGAGCTCGAGAGAGCTTCGATCTAAATACTTGGTGTGGGTCGCTAAGCGAGACCACGTGATCCGAATGGTGGTGACGGTTAGAACCGTCACAAGGATAACCTAATTAACAATAGTAGAGACCTTCTCGGGGTCTATCTAAACACTATCTATAGTAATAATTATACTAAGAAATATAACGCTAGTAACCTTAAACTTATACTTCTTAATATTATACTATAAACCGGCGTCCTAAAGAGCCTAAAGGACCTTCTTCATATAAGAGTAGTAAGAGAGCAAATCGTCCGAGAATATTAGAATATTATCTAAATAAGTAGTACAAAAGATATTAAGAAAAGGACGCAAAACCTTATTAATCCGAGCCTGAAAAACCACTAGTGTATTAGTGTCACGAATCACGTTCTCACGTGATACTTGTCATAATAAAGAGGCGCAACCCTCGACAGGCACATCCAGGTTTCTTATAGCAAATAGGGATGCTTAGACTAGCTAAGCGATCCAA